ACCTCCGGTATACGACTCCTATGAGGTGGAGTACCTGCCCATCGAAGGGCTGCTCAGCACTGGACGCCACTTCTTTGTGGAGCTCACCACTGACAGCAGCGGGGCTGCTGCAGGCATGGCACTGCGCTATGAGGGTACGAGGTGTGGGCACTGGGGGACACCCGAGCATTGCCACGTACCCCTGGCCCCCACAGACCTCAGCACTTGTGCCCACAGCCTTCGAGCAGGGGCACTGCTACGAGCCCTTCGTCAAGTATGGGAACTTCACAACCAGCGACCCGCGGTACCCTGTGGGCACCACGGTGGAGTTCAGCTGTCACCCTGGCTACACGCTGGAGCAAGGCTCCACCATCATCGAGTGCGTTGACCCCAGTGACCCACAGTGGAACGAGACGGAGCCGGCATGCCGCGGTGGGCACCGGAGGTGGGGGGATGTGGGTGGTGGAGCTGAGGGACTGGAAGTGAGGTTGGGCCACCATGGATGGTGGAGCCAGTATGGCATTTTGTGTGCTGGTGGGTAGGACCACTGTGGGATTCAGAGGCAATGGTGGGTGCTAGATCTGGGGTGCCAAGTGAGGGGTTGTGGGGGATGCTGGATCCAGGATGCTATGGTGGGTGCCATGGTGGTGGCTCGCCATGGTGGGTGCTATGGTGTGCGCCTGCAGCGGTGTGCAGTGGGGAGCTGATGGACACGGCCGGCGTGGTGCTGTCACCCAACTGGCCAGAGGCGTATGGCAAAGGCCAAGACTGCATCTGGGGGCTGCACGTGGAGGAGGACAAACGTGTCATGCTGGACATCCGTGTGTGAGTGCAAGGGTCTGTGGGACATGGGCCACTGGGAGGGGGGACACCCTTTTATTCCCCACCCTTGTTCTCCACGTGCTGCAGGCTGCGGCTGGGCGCAGGGGACATCCTCACCTTCTATGATGGGGACGACCTGACAGCACGCATCCTGGGTCAGTACACGGGTGCCCGTGGCCGCTTCAAGCTCTTTGCCTCCAGCGCCGACGTCACCATCCAGTTCCAATCTGACCCCGGCTCTGGCGTCTTTGCCTATCGGCAGGGCTTTGTCATCCACTTCTCCGGTGAGCCCCACGGTGGGGACGGGTGCTGTCATTCCCATGGCTCGCTCACTCCCTGCTGTCCCCACAGAGGTGCCCCGCAATGACACGTGCCCTGAGCTGCCTGACATCGCCAACGGCTGGAAGACCGCCTCACAGCCCGAGCTGCTGCACGGCACCGTCGTCACCTTCCACTGCTACCCCGGCTTTGAGCTGGCTGGTGCCGACCTGCTCATGTGCCATTGGGACCTGACGTGGAGCGGCGACCTGCCATCCTGCGAGCGGGGTGAGCAGGGTGACACATCCCACGTTCCCTCCCGCCACTCCATCCCACCCTCACTGTCACCGCCTGTCCCTACAACCCACAGTCACCACCTGCCGGGATCCCGGGGACGCCGAGCACAGCCGCAGGGTGGTCTCCAGCCCCAAATTCCCGGTGGGGTCCACCGTGCGCTTCGTCTGCGATAAGGGCTACGTGCTGGCAGGCGCCGGGCTCCTCACGTGCCACGACCGCGCGTCGGGGGGACCCAAGTGGAGCGACCGCCTGCCCAAATGCATCCGTGAGTCGGGCATCCCGAGCGCACGCCTCCATGGCTGGCGGCACGCAGTGGGTGCTGACACAACGCCATTGCCCACAGCGGAGGCATACGAGCCGTGCCACAACCCCGGTGTGCCCGCGGGCGGGCGGCAGAGCCCCGAGCGGCGGCTGTACCCGGCAGGCAGCACGCTGCGCTTCTCCTGCACGGCTGGGAGGGCGCTGCTGGGTGAGGGCAATCTGCGCTGCCTTCCCGGGCATCCCTCGCGCTGGAGCGGCTCACCTCCCATCTGCAAGGCGGGTGAGCAAAACCCTCTGCTGCTGTATGATTCCATTTTCCCCCCTTGCTTCCCACTGATGTTGGGTTGTTTCTCCCCATCTTAGCTTCCTACGATGAGTTTTACAGCAATCGCAATCTGGATGGTAAGGGGGCTTCGGGGCACCCTTGGGTGCTGGGGTGCAACGGGCACCCGAGGTGAAGCCAGCACTGGGTGCCCTCGTTGAGCCCCCAATCTCCCGCGCAGCCGTGGCCAAAGCTGTGCCCTCGGGGACAGCACTGGAGGGCACCAATGTGGCCATCGCCATCTTCCTGCCCGTGCTGGTGGTGGCCCTGCTCATCGGAGGCGTTTACCTCTACTTCTCCAAGTGAGTGCCTGCCTCTCGCCTTGGATCCCCAGCACCACTGCCACTTGCCCAACTCCATCTCCATCTCCTCCTACAGGCTGCAGGGGAAGCCAGCCCTACAGCTGCCCCTTTCCGGATCCCACCCCTATGATCACATCACCGTGGAGTCAGCTTTTGACAATCCCACCTATGAGACAGGAGTAAGCACTGGCCCCCACCCCCTACCAGCAGGGGTGTGCGCCCTGGGGACCAGGGGTAGAATGTGATGTGCACCCCAGGACCATGGAAAGGATGGGATGTGTACCATGGGGACCATATGTGGGATGGGATATGCACACCAAGCATCATGCATCCAATGGGCTATGTGTGCCACGGGCTGTACAGTGGGTGGAACATGCATCCAAGAGCCTATGCATATATGAGACAGGACATACATCTCAGGGAGCACGTATGGGATGTGCATCCCTGAGGCCATCCAGGGGATAGGACATAGATCACATGGACCATGTAGAGAAGGAATGTGATTCCCAGAGGCTGCACACACATGGATGGGACCTCCATCTGATGACCACACATGGGATGGGTCATCCATCTGGGAGCCATGTATGGGATGGGATGTTGAACCCTGTGTGGCTGTCCATGGGTTGTGCCCCCCGGGTCCCCAAGGATGGTGGGGGGGAGGCAAAGCACAGCACCAGTGAGTGTCCAACCCCTCGCAGTCTGTTTTCTTTGCAGGAAACGAGGGAATATGAGGTGTCCATCTAGGCGAGGGTGCAGCAGACCCCTCCCAGGATGCCCACGCTTGCCGGCCCTCACCATGGCGCCGGGCTCACCTCTCGCAAGGAGATCAAGCGGGAGCCACCCCCCACACACCCCAACCCGCCCGGACCCCCGTGGGGTCTCCCCCCACTGTCCCCTGATCCCTGCTCTGGGTGGGCACGGGACGCTGAACCAGCAGGACTCCCTGGGCCACATCCTGACCCCCTTCCCTGGAGCAGCAGTTCCATCCCCCCCGGCCCCAGCGATGGAGGAGTGAGCTCTGATAGGGCAGGCACAGCGAGGAGCCCCCGGGGCTGCAGCCTGACGGTGACGGGTATAGGGGCCAGGACGCGGGATGGGGGGCAATGGAGTGCCCTGGGGGCGAGGGGGGGGGCTAAGGAAACTTCGGGGTGCCCTCACCCTTCACCCACTCCTAGCACCCCGACGTCTCCCAGCGCCACCCCCGATACCCCAAGCATGCCGCGTTCCCCCGCTGCCCCCCCCCCAGCATCTGCTCGCTTCCCCCTCCCCGAGGTGCGCCCCGGCCCTGCACGTCCCGGCATCCCACGAGGGCTACGCGGATCCGGACGCCCAGCCCCACGCTGACGGGGTGGGCAGGTGGGGCACTGAGCATGGCTGTGTCCCCTCCCCCCCCCCCGGACCAGGTCACGCCCGGGGC